CAAAATAAGAGCCGGGTTTGAGGAGATGAAAGCCACTCACAGAAAAAAGACACGTTTTTACATGTTTTTCAGTGCAATAAATACAACAAAAATGGGGGAAAAAAAAGAAGAAAAGAAAAGTGGTGGGGCTTTAAAAATGTAAGAAGTTGCTTGACACTTCTGTTCTCAGTCTAATGAATGTAATGAAGCAGTACAGTTGGGTCAGTCTGTCAGGAGCCTGAGCTGCTGCTGCTCAGAGTCTGGGGATCAGCTCCAGGATTTGACCTGCTGCATGTTCTGGACTGATGGGGAAAGTCCAGTGAGCTCAGAGGAAACCCACACACACACAGAGAGAACATGTACACTGCACACAGAAGGAGTCACACACACACACACACACACACACACACACACACACACACACACACACACACACACACACACACACACACACACACACACACACACACACACACACACACACACACACACACACACACACACACACACACACACAGACACACACACACACACACACACACACAGACACACACACACACACACACACACACACACACACACACACACACACAGACACACACACACACACACACACACACACACACACACACACACACACACACACACACACACAGACACACACACACACACACACACACACACACACACACACACACACACGCACACACACACACACACACACAGACACACACACACACACACACACACACACACACACACACACACACACACACACACACACACACACACACACACACACACACAGAGAGAACATGTACACTGCACACAGAAGGAGTCAAACACACACACACACACACACACACAGGCCTGAAGTAAATGCATCTTTTGTGATTCTGGCAATGATAAGTTTCAATAACAACTAATAATATATATATATATATATATATATATATATATATATATATATATATATATATATATATATATATATTTTTTTTTTTTTAAATACTGCATTTTTGTATGTATATATATATATATATATATATATATATATATATATATATATTTTTAATACTGCATTTTTGTATATATATATATATATATATATATATATATATATATATTTTAAGTGCATACTTTAACGAATTTTGCAACAGCAAATAATTTCCAACTTCATGCAGACGACTTTTAACATCACTGAACATCAGTCACCAGATCTAAACCAGGACTATACCAGATCTAAACCAGGACTATACCAGATCTAAACCAGGTCTAAACCAGATCTAAATTATGACTAAACCAGGACTAAACAAGGTCTAGACCAGGTCCAAACCATGACTAAACCAGGTCTAATACAGGACTAAACCAGGACTAAACCAGATCTAAACCAGGTCTAAACCAGGACTAATCTTAGACTTGAGAGAAAGGAAGAACCCCGAGCCCGTGGAGTAGGGTGTCCACAAAGTGTGATCGGGCGACAGCTGCGTTGAGCTCCGTGAGGGGTGGAGCTCTGCGCTGGTCCTTTCGGCACCTTCGGGCCAGTCTCGACACTCAGTCCTGGTTCAGTTCTGGTTTAAATTCTATTTTAGTCCTGTTTTAGTCCTGGTTTAGTCCTAGTTCAGTCCTGGTTTAGTCCGTGTGTGTCGACTCCCCAGTGGCTCCCAGGGGAGACAGGCCTCACCTATTGAAACCCCTGCTGAACCCCAATACCTCTAAAAATGTCCCTGACCAAACTCCGCCCCTTACCTGAGACCACACCCCTCACCCGAGACCACACCCCTCACCTGAGACCACACCCCTCACCCGAGACCACACCCCTCACCCGAGAACACACCCCTCACCCGAGACCACACCCCTCACCCGAGACCACGCCCCCTCACCTGCGATCACACCCCTCACCTGAGACCCACACCCCTCACCTGAGACCACACCCCTCATCCGAGACCACACCCCTCACCTGAGACCACACCCCTCACCCGAGACCACGCCCCCTCACCCGAGACCACACCCCCCCACCTGAGACCACACCCCTCACCCGAGACCACACCCCTCACCTGAGACCACGCCCCGGTCCTCCACTGGGCGGGGCAGAGCGTCTGGTTGCAGGGCCTGCGGGTGTCGGGGCGTTCCTGGGTGCAGTGTTTGCTGTGGACGGGCCTTTGGGTGCTGTTCTGGAGAGACTGAACACACTGAACCACACGAGTCTGGAAACCAAGTTTACCACAAGATTTACTGCACGGACCCCACGACTCCGACACCCACCTGAGAGACGGAGAGAAGGAGGGAGGGAGAGAGGGAGAGAGAAGGAGAGAAGGAGGGAGGGAGAGAAAGAGAGACAGAGAGAGAGAGGGAGGAGGGAGAGATAGAGGGAGGGAGAGAGAGGGAGAGGGAGGAGAAAGAGGGAGGGAGAGGGGAGAGAAAGAGAGACAGAGACAGAGAGAGGGAGAGAGTGGGAGGGAGGGAGGAGAGAGAGAGAGAGAGAGAGAGAGAGAGAGAAAGGGAGGAGGGAGAGAGAGGGAGGGAGAGGGTGGGAGGGAGGAGAGAGAGAGAGAGAGAGAGAGAGAGAGAAGGGAGGAGGAGAGGAGAGGGAGGGAGAGAGAGGGAGAGAGAGAGAGTAAGGGAGGAGGGAGAGAGAGGGAGGGGAGAGAAGGAGAGGGACAGAGAGAGAGGGGGAGAAAGAGAGAGGAGGGAGGAGGGAGAGAGAGATAGAGGGAGGAGGGGGGAGAAAGGGGGAGAGGAAGTGAGAAGAGAGAAATGAAGGGAGGAGAAAGAAAAGAGAGGGAGATAGAGGGAGGAAGAGAGAAAGAGAGAGAGACGGGGGGATGGCAGGGAGAGATGGATGTGGGAAAGAGGAAGGGGAGAGAGAAAGAGGGAGAGAGGGAGAGGTGAAGGGGGTAAAGGCGAGAGAGATGGAAGGAGGCAGGAGGGAGAAGGGGAGAGATAGAGGGAGGGAGAGAGGGGATGTGGGAGAGAGGAAGGGGAGAAAGAGAGAGGGAGAGGGAGAGAGAGACAGACAGCAGGGATAGAGAGAGAGAGAGAAACAAGGAGAGGGGGTAGGGAGGGAGAGAGATGGGGGGAGAAGTAGAGGTGACAGAGAGAGGGGGAAAAGAGAGAGAGCGGTAGAAAAGAAGAGAGAGTTGGATGGAGCGAGAGGGAGAAAGAGAGAGATGGAGAACAGGGGTAAGAGAGAGAGAGAAGAGGAATGGAAAGGAAAGGGGAGGGAGAGAGAGAGAAATATAGCAGATATAAACAGGAGAGAGGGACACAGAGAAGAGAAAGAGGGTGAGGACAGAGAGGAAGAGAGAGAACGTGGAGAAAAAGCAATAAAAAAAAAAAGAAGAACAGAATTAGCCCGGAGACACGCCCCCTGGTGGAGGATGGTGGGATGTGATTGGTCCTCACGTGGGCGGGCTGCAGTCCTGACTGTTGCAGCGTTTGCGGATCGGTTTGGGCTTTTTACTCGACTCACAGAAGTTACGATGAACCAGACGACTGTCGCTTTTACGACGGCAGCCGTATTTAGTGTACTGGATACCTGAGGAAGAGGAGGAGGAGGAAGAGGAGGAGGAGAGGAGGAGAGGAGGTAGAGGAAGAGGAAGAAGAGGGGAGGAGGAGGAAGAGGAAGAAGAGGAGGAAGAGGAGGAGGAGGAGGAGGAGGAGGAGAGAGAGGAGGAGGAGGAGGAGGAGGAGAGGAAGAGGAGGAGGAGGAGGAGGAGGAAGAGGAGGAGGAGGAGGAGGAGGAGGAAGGAGGAAGAGGAGGAGAGGAGGAGGAGGAAGAGGAGGAAGAGGAGGAGGAAGAGGAGGAAGAGGAGGAGGAGAGAGGAGAAGAGGAGGAGGAGGAAGAGGAGGAGGAGGAAGAGGAGGAGGAGGAGGAGGAGGAGGAAGAGGAGGAGGAGGAAAGAGAGAGGAGGAAGGAAGAGAGAGGAGGAGGAGAGGAGGAGGAAGAAGGAGGAGAGAGAAGAGGAGGAGGAGGAGGAGGAGGAGGAGGAGGAAGAGAGGAGGAAGAGGAGGAAGAGGAGAGGAGGAAGAGGAGGAGGAAGGAAGAGGAGGAAGAGGAGGAGGAGGAAGGGAAGAAGAGGAGGAGGAGGAAGAAGAGGAAGAGAAGGAGGAAGAAGAAGAGGAGGAAGAAGAGGAGGAGGAGGAAGAAGAGAGAGAGGAGAAGAAGGAAGAGGAGGAAGAGGAGGAGAAGAGGAGGAGGAGAAGAGAGGAGGAGAGAAGAGAGGAGGAAGAAGAGGAGGAAGGAGAGAGGAAGGAAGGAGGAGAAAGAAGATGAGGAGGAGGAAGAGGGAGAGAGAGGAGGAGGAAGAGGAGGTGGAAGAGAGAGAGAGGAGGAGGAAGAGGATGAGGAGGTGGAAAATGGAGAGAAAGAGGAAGAAGAGGGAGAGGGGGAGGAGGGAAAGGAGGAGAAGGAGAGAAGGAAGTAGCAGGGGAATAAGAGGAGGAAGAGGGAGAAAGAGGAGGACAAGGAGGAAGAGGAGCAGGAAGGAAAAGAGGAGGATGAGAAAGAGGGAGAACAGGTGAAGATGCAAGTGGAAGGAAAAGGAAAGGAGGAGAAAGAAAAAGAGGACAAGATGAGGAAAGCAAAAGATAAAGAGAGGACGAAGCGAAGGTGGAGAAGAGGAGGAATAGAAGAAGAAGAGGAGGAAGAGGCGAATGAAAGGAAGAGGAGGAGGAGGAAAAGAAGGTTATTCAATTATCTCAGTGAAAACAAAAAAACAAACAAAAACCGACCTCACACAAACTACACAACAAAGACGCACTGTGTAACTTTGAATTCATAACCTGCAAGAATAATAGGTTTAATGCCATACTGCGGAACATTTCAGGCATAGCAACAGCATTAAAGGTCCCATATTACTGTTTTCTGATCCGTGTTATAATGTTTCCTCATCCTAAACGCACCCGGAGTTGTGTTTTGTTTCGTTCACGTTCATGTTTAACGCACAAACCTGAGTTCTTCTCTCAAACTGAAAACACGCTCTTCCACCTTGTGATGTCATGAAGTGGTAATACAGGAAGTGCTCCACTGTGATTTTAAACTCCGCGCACGTTCACTAGAATCATTTGGGTCGCTTCAGACACGGAATTGCCAGGAAATGATGTTTTCTACTGGACTAAAAATTTAAAAAGTAGCTGTTAGTAGTTGTTGAAAACTACCACTTCATGACATCACAAGGTGGACCAGAGCATTCTGAGTTTTGGAAATAGTAGTAGACAGTAGAGTTGTCCCAATCCGATCACGTGAACGGAAAACGGCTTTGATCACGTGACTACGGACTCGTTATGGTCCGATCAGGTATCAGATAAATAATTTACGTATATAACACACAGGACACAACAGTTTTTTTTTGTTTTTTTAATATTTTTTTTATTTTCTCAGGACGTCCAATTAGCTCGTCTGTCTGTCCCAGCGCCTGTTGTACTAGATCAGGGGTGTCAAACTCATTTTGGTCCGGGGGCCATATCCAACCTACTTTGATCCCAAAGGGGCCGGATCAGAAAACTCATGGAATATAAACCCCAAAAATAACAATAAGTTCAAATATTTGTGCAGAGAAACACAAATCTATTACAGAAATTTTTTTAAAGACCTTTGAAACAAAACATTTTTAAACTAAAAATCTTCTTAAATGAACTCTTTCTTTTACAAAATATTATATTATTATGAAGAACCTGAAACTTTAAGAAAAATGCAATTTCAACACAATATTTTAACATGAACTTGTGTGCAAATAGGAATAAGTCAATTTTTCTTGTAAAATCCTGCACTCGGCTCAATGTTTCTCATGTTGGACATTTTGTTGATGAGGGTGTCACTGTCAACAGTCAAAACGATCGTCCTTTAAGAGCGTTTGGAAAGAGACAAGTCTTCATTTGTGCTGCTCTGGTGGGAGGGGCCACGTACAGAGGCGCTGGAGACGCTGCTATGCTCAGCACCGCAGAAAATTACCAATATTTTAATTAAAATATTTAAGTAGAAAATCAACCAAGGGCCAGATTAAAGGTCTTGGAGGGCCGCATCTGGCCCCCGGGCCTTATGTTTGACACCTGTTGTACTAGAGACACACTCGCGCTGGGACTTCTGGGTCGTGTCGTGCTCGGGCGCTGTTACCTGTGGTTCTGTGGCCCGTGTTCACACCTGCGCGGCCGACGGCGGCATCACACGGCGCTGTGTGTTTGCATGTCGCGCAGAGGAGTTGGCACTTTTGGCGAAGTGGGTGGGAAAAGTGGCAGGAAGTGTTTATGGAGGTGGGACCGATGTTGCGGCGTTGCTCCGCTGTGGGTTTGTGGATGTGGTGGTGCGAGGGACAGAGGCTGTGGAGCTTCTTTCATCTCGTTTTTATTTTGGTAAGATTTAGTTTTATTTGGATTTCATAGACGAGCCTAAGAGTTTCAAACATAATGCACAGGCAAACATATAATACGGGGCGGCAGTAGCTCAGTTGGTAGAGCGTTCGCCCACTGATCTGAAGGTTGGCGGTTCAATTCCAACTCTCGATATAAACATCACAGGTTGAGCGGTCAGATCCACTGACCCACAGGTTGGCTGGTGTGATTCCAGCTCCCACAGATGAATGCTGTTGTTGTGTCCTTGGGCAAGACACTTAACCCACAGTGTTTGCGTACACTGGTGTGTGAATGGGTGAGTGGTTCCTTGTTGTAAAGCGCTTTGAGTGCCTTGAAGGTGGAAAAGCGCTATAGAAAAATGTGACCATTTACCAATATCAAATATACAAACTGTAGATTGGGCAGAGTCTCTGGTTCTGGTCTGGTTCTGGTTCTGGTCTGGTTCCTGTTTTGTCCAGTTCATTAAAGGTTGTATGGAGGATTTTTTTTTGTTTCAAACTGTCAGTGAAAGATTAAAATACCATTACAGAGACGCAGCAGCTTTGTAATTATGATGACCAACAAAAAAAGAACAAAAATCTATCAACTGTGGGTGTAGTGAGGCCAGATAAACATCAGCCAATAGAAAACGAGGCTCCCTCATTTTCTATTGGCTGTTAGGTTGTCAATCAAACTCCCTAGTATAACTGACTCGTCGGAGCGCGGGGATTTCGTGGTTTACGCAAGCGTTTCTTAGAGGCTTTTTCGAACTGTCGCTTCCTCGCATTTCGCACAAAGTTTGTCACGACGGCGGACGAGAATCCACGACCAGTTCGCCGCAAAAGAAAGTCAGTTGTTGAGGTCGCTGAAAGAAGAAGAGAAGAGGAAAAAGAGCAAAGCCAAACTGAGGTGATTCTTGGAGACCTCGTCCAGCGATGGCGCGACCGAAGCAGACGAAGGGTCTAAAAACTGACGCGTCGGTCGCTGAATTACTTCTAGACAGGAAACTTCAACAGTAATTCTGAATGCGCACAAGGACTGTCGCTGTATTTCTCTTCCCTTAAAAAAATCCTCTATACAACCTTTAAATATACTAAGTTACACATTCCAAGACCAGACTGTGGTAAAAGTCAAGATTTACAACAATGATGGTTCATGGTTAGAAAAGTTAATAAAATTAAAGTTTTGGAG